TGTTACCATGTTGAGTAGCATGGAGGTCTTACCAACCATAATATATGTACTTGTACACTTGCCCGGGGAAAAGTCATTTGTGACAAGTAGGCTTAGATGAGCCTGTGCTAAAATTTACACAACACGACAAATATAAATTCGTTTTGAGTTTTGAGTATGTAATTGTTCCTTGCCGGTGAATTTTGATCATTACCAGTTGTACGTAAGAAATTATTGTAACCACGTGACCTATCACGTGACCTCTATTTATCTTAATTAAACAATAAGTTCATGAAAGATCAATTTTTAAAAACATAGAAGAAACAATGGTGGACATTGTGATCTCTTGTAACTATATGGAACAGAAATGATGAATTGCCATAATTAAATTTTAATAAAAGGACATTACTTTCAAATGTCATTCCAACGTTTATAAAAATTAATGTTAGATTAAGGTTCGAAATAAGACGTGATATAAGAGATATAACGTTTGCTGTCAAATTAACATTGAAAATATTCATCATCAGAATAACGTTGTAATTTGATATAATTTAAAAACGTTAAATTTTTAAATATTATTCTGATGTTAAATTTAACATTAAAAATTCATAACGGTATTTTAACGTTAGAATTTATTGTTGAAAAAATAACTTTATATTAACGTGGAAAGACGTTAAAATAACGGTTTTTTTTTTGAACGTTGAAATAATGTCTGTAACATAGATTAGTCGCGGTGTGTCATCATTGAAATAATGTCTGTAACATAAATTAGTCGCGGTGTGTCATCATTGAAATAATGTCTGTAACATAGATTAGTCGCGGTGTGTCATCATTGAAATAATGTCTGTAACACAGATTAGTCGCGGTGTGTCATCATTGGAATAATGTCTGTAACACAGATTAGTCGCGGTGTGTCATCATTGAAATAATGTCTGTAACATAGATTAGTCGCGGTGTGTCATCATTGGAATAATGAAAACTTGTTTGACCGGCACAAGCCCTTTATACTCTGGAATGCTGGAACACGTTTCGAAAGAAGGCTTGGAAACAAATCTCAACTACTTCTTTAGTAACACAGACAAACATATATCGTTATCAGTTGCGGCATCTCCGAAGCATTTGGGAAACGGATTTTTTTTCTTTTTTTAATTTCAATAAAAATCATTCTTTTAACTTGCATTGTCATCCTTAAGCCGTCTTTATCACTAACCCTCCACCTCGCGGGTTCGAGGCCTAAGTGGAGTAGTCGCTAGGAACTGACTGCACGTCGGTGTTTTTTCTCCAGAACATCATACTTTCCTCCAATATCCAAACCTGGCACGTCCTTCAATAATCCTTGCTGTAAATAGTGTTATTTCCTCTAATTCCCTCATAGTAAAAAGGGCCGTAAAAAGGAACATAATAACTGTTCAAACACTGTTGAAACACACGCGTAAATACACACGTGTAACAATTTAACTCACTTTAATACAAGCTAACAACGTTTACCATATGATCACTAGGCGATTTAAATTAATCTGAAATTATCACAAAAATTGTAATACTCCAATGTAATCACTGTTGAAATATACTGAAGTATGAAATGCGTTTCGAAATCGTTAAACTACAATTGACCAAATGTTGAAAAAAAACACAATGTGACGGTTGTTGTGGAACTCTTATAATGGAGCAATATCATTTATTTCTAAGTCCCTGAGTCAAAATGCTGATGAATGATCTTAGGTAACGTGACTAATGTGAGACGTTTTTACACGTTCCAGATATTCCCGGACTTTTTTTCTCGTGACAAAGCAATATGTTTATTAGCTTACCGCTGTGCCTGTTCGGTCCAGTACAGTAAATACACACACAATGATTCAAAGCACTGTTATCGTTATCGAACATCGGCAGGGGTATTTTCATGTAATCGGAGAGATTGTTGAATTGTGATAAAACAAAGAAAAATATCTGATAATAATACAATATGATGAGTACAAAAGGACCTGTTTAGTCTTGGAATTCAACGTTGTTTTTTAAACATATATAACATCCAATTCTACACCTATAAAACAGACCCATTAACCCCCTCACACAGTATTGGGCGTGTTTTAAAAACGACATAATCGAAGTATATAGTATTTGCTGATATTTAACAAGATAAAAAGGACAGTATTGAATTTATCGTGTTGAATATAGGTACATATCACTGAAATATATATAATAGGGCGAGCATTGTCTACAGAGCGCCCTTTAGAGGGGTCCTTTAGGATCAATATGATATTCATGAAGTCAGAAGTTCGACAAAAATATCAAAATATTGTATCTATCGTTTGTTATTCTGTTTCTCATACCAAGTAAAATGTCTATAATACTTGATATATAGCCATCTTGCTTCGATTATTTTATGTTTTTATTGTTGAACGGTCGCGATACTTATGTCATTGTGAAATATTCTATTTTTAGTGCAATATGAAGTTGGACGCATTTGGTGTTCGTCTGGCTCTCATTGAGTAGCGTGACATGATTGATCAGTATTTACATAGCGGGTGTCACCGGTGAAACAGAAGACGCTTTTACCCCCGTAATACCTGGTCTTATTCTCCTTGTAATATTCAGGCGTTTTTGTTTATATCTTTACTTCTTGTTTTGCTCTGATTTCACCGACATTGAGCTTGACATGTTGTCTCTCTTTTATATATATAGATTACACAGACAAAACCTAATTATAAGAGTGATTTTACTAACAATATGTTTGGTTTTAAAGTGTTCATATATGATCTTGTAAACGTATGATTTGGTTCAATATAGTTGTATTTGTAAGACAAGACAGACGTGGAGTGAAGTGTGAAAGTTTACAGCTGAATTTCTAAAGAAAATATTGTTATTGTACAAAAGATAAACACGTTTAAATACACATTTAGATTTAGATAGAGTCAAACAATGAATTAAACTGCACCATATAGCTATTTCGTCCTTCTAGTCCTTCTAGGACACATTAGTGATTAAACATAGGAGGGGAATGAAGAAAATTCAAAGTGATCGAAAGAAATACCCAAATATAGATTGGAAATAGTACTATCCCCATAATTATAACAACAAATCGTAATTTTCATATATCTGATGTATCTCAGTGCTCACTTATATGCAATGGAAGAATCAATAATCTGGTGAACATGTATGAAAGTCGTACGATGTAGTTTAACACTAGACACTGTTGTATCTATAATGAAATCTGTATCGATAAAGGTGTTATTTGCTTGTCTGTCTTTTGTACAATCCAACCTTAAAATATTGCCTTCCGTATTCCATTAAATGGCTATAGATGTAAATTCATATTGGTTTTGCTGTGATGTAGTTCATATCTTAATATTTCTGAAACAAGATTTTAAATGTGACATAAACGTTTAATTAAATCATACTTGTCAGGAAATTTTAAAACGTATAAAGGAAATAGCAACGACAGATCTACAGCATAACTTCTAAACGACCGAGACTTGATGAAGGCGTTTATCCTATCAAAAGATAAACCATTCGATTTACTGGGGGAAAATTCATAATGATATATACAGTTGACAATGAGAATATGTAATTGAGTTTTTGTCATGTTTTATTGAGAAGATACAGTACTACTGTTACAAAACATTCATATGATTTAAAGTGAAACGTGGTAATTACTTTTCTTATCTCTGTTTTGCAGGTGAGTGATGAAATAGACTGACATCCCGCCTGATGAAGAGCCGTGTGTTGTAACAGAGGACGTGTTGTGTTGATTATCGACCATTTAACCTGTACACTTCTTTTAATGTCCATTGCCACATTGATTGGTAAACTCGACCGGTGAACATATACTATTATAACCTAACACAGCCCAGCTGTTGGGAAACTCGACCGGTGAACTTATACTATTATAACCTAACACAGCCCAGTTGTTGGGAAACTCGACCGGTGAACATATACTATTATAACCTAACACAGCCCAGTTGTTAGTGTAAACCCGGATCGGAGCATCACATATAAAGGTAATTGATTTCATATATATAATATACGCCACGCAAGCTTTACAAAGTCTGACCGAATTAATGACAATTCATACGACTACTGGTTTTTAGATTGATTTCCATTCACTGGCCGTGTAAGGGTTCATTAGGGCATATCAAGGTATATCATCAGACTGGCTTTTCTATCAATAATTCCATGTTGAATCAGCCTGGTTCTGATACATCAACCCGTTGGAATATACAGTTTGTATGACTTAAGTCAGTGTGTTTTACAGTACCAGGCTTTAAGGTACCGGATATTTGGATATTTTGTATCGGAACAAACAGACTTTATAATACCCGGATTATATCTTTAGTTCTAGAAACAGATTTTACAATACCCGGATTATATCTTTAGTTTTAGAAACAGACTTTACAATACCCGGATTATATCTTTAGTTCTAGAAACAGACTTTACAATACCCGGATTATATCTTTAGTTCTAGAAACAGATTTTACAATACCCGGATTATATCTTTAGCTTGGAAACAGGTTACAATACCCGGAGAAACAGATTTTACAATACCCGGATTATATCTTTAGTTTTAGAAACAGACTTTACAATACCCGGATTATATCTTTAGTTCTAGAAACAGACTTTACAATACCCGGATTATATCTTTAGTTCTAGAAACAGACTTTACAATACCCGGATTATATCTTTAGTTTTAGAAACAGACTTTACAATACCCGGATTATATCTTTAGTTCTAGAAACAGACTTTACAATACCCGGATTATACCTTTAGTTCTGGAAACAGGCTTTACAATACCCGGATTATATCTTTAGTTCTGGAAACAGACTTTACAATACCCGAAATAATTATCACAATAAACGGAAGCTTATCACTCCTGGATGATATACCGAATCAAAACATTCAGCAAGTGTTACAGTGTGCCTTGAAGACATTGTGGTACCGTTAATGAGATTCGTTGCTAGGATAAACACAGAGAGTTTTCGAGATCAGAGAAATCTTAGTGGAGATTGTGTTCCAGACCGAAGACCATGCCTTGTTTTACTGCATGTTCTGTTGCGGTAATGAATGATCACAAGGGAAGCCGAGTGTGTTCCACTAAAGGTCTGTTATACGCCTTCGCTGGTCTCTGTATCGTCATGTTTGCTAGTGTTTTTGTTTACTGGTATCATGTTAATGAGCTTTTCAGTCTTTCCATAAAACTCACAGACAATGTTAAGGAGTTCTATGAAAAAGACGCTAAATCATTTCTGGAAGTTCTCAAAATGTCTGGATTTGATAACGAACATAATTCATCTTGGAAAGCATCAAATGAAGGAAAATTTATTTCTAAGAACGCTGATAAAACGACGTCGGTGCCATCGAAACCACAGCAGTTGCCGACTAAAGCGAAACCAAAGCCAGCAGGGGATCGTCCTGATAAGTGTGAGACGTGTTTTAAACATGACTTTAATTACGTATTAGACAATGAGCAAATCTGCGCAAGAAACGACAAATCCCCCGAAATAGACCTCGTCATTTTGATATTTACAGTCCACAACAACAGACTCCAAAGAGAAACGATTCGTAAAACATGGCTGACATATGCTAAGAATAACTCGGAGACTTCGAACATTCGGTATGCTTTTCTCCTTGGAGCTCCTGCTGATTCAAAAATGGATAAAATTGTGAAAGAGGAATTTGACATATTTAGAGATATTCTTCAGGAGGATTTTATAGATGCTTACTCGAATTTAACTTACAAGACTATGATGGCCTACAAATGGGCGAGCACCAAGTGCAAAGAAGCCAAATTTGTGATGAAAACTGATGATGATATGTATGTTAATATCCCAAATATTCTTACAACAGCGAAAAGTCATAAAGAAAAGTTACAGACTAATGTTGGAGGGGCTTGTCATCAAATGGCTAAACCGATCCGAGATCATCGCTCAAAATGGTATGCGTCAAAGAAAAGCTTTCCCGGAAGTACTTATCCGGGATTTTGTTCCGGTACCGGATACGTTACTAGTATGAACGTAGCTTCAAAAGTGTTTGAGGTATCACAGCACGTGCCATTTTTCCACTTGGAGGATGTGTATGTTGCTCTTTGTATTAAAAAACTTGGATATAAATTATTAGCTATTCCAGGATTCAATTCGGGGAAAGTTAAGCCAGATCCCTGTACATACCGTGGCAGCACCATGAAAACCTCACATTATGTCTCTCCCGACCTGATGGAGAAAATGTGGTTCGGAAAGTGTGAAAAAAAGGGATAAATTCAATTCGAAACATCTAGTAAAAGTTGTTGACCTAGACAATGTAAAGCAATAATATGGTGATATGAGTCCGCTCGAAGAAGGCCGTTATTTATTACATTAGAAGCTTACATTTTACACCTTATGTTTTTATACTGTTTAATCCGTGTTAAGGTAGACTTTTTTGGGGTTTTTTTCTTTTTTTTTTTTTTTTTTGTTTGGTTTTTTTTTACCTTTGAGTTTTGGGATATAATTTACATAGCCATTACAAACAACGATTTTGGAATAAGATATTTCGCTAGCTCGTCAAAGTTTATACTTGCCAGAAAACCATTGTCATTCACATTGACTATAAATGATATAGCTAGATAATTCAATGCTTATAGACACATTCCCTACGCATTTGTATTTTTTTGTTTTTTTGCTAGCCCTCAAACATTTTAGTTCCGGAAAGAATTTTCTCAGCAATATTGAAAATAGTATGTGAATTATTTTTATATTATATAACACATTCTTATATTGATAATTATTGAAGTAAAAAACAAATGAAATTAAGAAGACAATTGATAGATGCCTTCAGGACAAACACTGGTAGAGTGACAGAAATCTAGTTCCTTCAGGAAAAACACTATGGTAGAGTGACAGAAATCTAGTTCCTTTAGGACAAACACTGGTGGAGTGACAGAAATCTAGTTCCTTTAGGACAAACACTGGTGGAGTGACAGAAATCTAGTTCCTTTAGGACAAACATTGGTGGAGTGACAGAAATCTAGTTCCTTTAGGACAAACACACTGGTGGAGTGACAGAAATCTAGTTCCGTCAGGAAAAACACTGGTGGAGTGACAGAAATCTAGTTCCTTCAGGACAAACACTGGTGGAGTGACAGAAATCTAGTTCCGTCAGGAAAAACACTGGTGGAGTGACAGAAATCTAGTTCCGTCAGGAAAAACACTGGTGGAGTGACAGAAATCTAGTTCCGTCAGGATAAACACTGGTGGAGTGACAGAAATCTAGTTCCTCCAGGACAAACACTGGTGGAGTGACATAAATCTAGTTCCTTTAGGACAAACACTGGTGGAGTGACAGAAATCTAGTTCCGTCAGGAAAAACACTGGTGGAGTGACAGAAATCTAGTTCCGTCAGGACAAACACTGGTGGAGTGACAGAAATCTAGTTCCGTCAGGAAAAACACTGGTGGAGTGACAGAAATCTAGTTCCGTCAGGAAAAACACTGGTGGAGTGACAGAAATCTAGTTCCTCCAGGACAAACACTGGTGGAGTGACAGAAATCTAGTTCCTTTAGGGCAAACACTGGTGGAGTGACAGAAATCTAGTTCCTTCAGGAAAAACACTATGGTGGAGTGACAGAAATCTAGTTCCTTTAGGACAAACACTGGTGGAGTGACAGAAATCTAGTTCCTTTAGGAAAAACACACTGGTGGAGTGACAGAAATCTAGTTCCGTCAGGAAAAACACTAGTGGAGTGACAGAAATTTAGTTCCTTCAGGACAAACACTGGTGGATTGACAGAAATCTATTTCCTTCAAGACAAACACTGGTGGAGTGACAGAAATCTAGTTCCGTCAGGAAAAACACTAGTGGAGTGACAGAAATTTAGTTCCTTCAGGACAAACACTGGTGGAGTGACAGAAATCTAGTTCCGTCAGGAAAAACACTGGTGGAGTGACAGAAATCTAGTTCCGTCAGGAAAAACACTAGTGGAGTGACAGAAATCTAGTTCCTTCAGGACAAACACTGGTGGATTGACAGAAATCTATTTCCTTCAAGACAAACACTGGTGGAGTGACAGAAATTTAGTTCCTTCAGGACAAACACTGGTGGAGTGACAGAAATCTAGTTCCGTCAGGAAAAACACTGGTGGAGTGACAGAAATCTAGTTCCGTCAGGAAAAACACTGGTGGAGTGACAGAAATCTAGTTCCTTCAGGACAAACACACTGGTGGAGTGACAGAAATCTAGTTCCGTCAAGACAAACACTAATGGAGTGACAGAAATTTAGTTCCTTCAGGACAAATTGGTGGAGTGACAGAAAAAGTGTAGGGCGTGTCAAGAGCGTTTATTGAATGTTGTTTTTCTATATGCGTAATGCTACATGGTAAATTGTCTCCAATAATCGACTTGTATGTCGGCCTGTTACAAGGGCATTCTTTATCACCGATTAGGTTTTATTTACTTATCAATGACATTGAATAAGAATTAATTGAACTTTTAAGAGTTATCACCCTCAACTAATCAATCTGTTTTAATTATGTAAGCAGACAACACAGTGTCATTTTCTGAAGATATCGAGGAACTTAAAAATATTCTTGCCTTTTTAAAGAGGTATTCGGGTCGTTGGTATTTGACTGTGAAAGAAGATAAAGATAAAATAATGGTATTTAGAGAGAGAAAAAACAAGAGCATGATCAGTGGAAATTTGATGGAAAAGACATAGAAGTCTGGACCAGTTTTGTTATTTAGGCTTGGTTTTTTTGTTATAATGTTAATGTTATAATGATAATGTTATAATGTTATAATGTTAATGTTATAATGATAATGTTATAATGTTATAATGTTATAATGTTAATGTTATAATGTTAATAATATAATGTTAATGTTATAATGATAATGTTATAATGTTATAATGTTAATGTTATAATGATAATGTTATAATGATAATGTTATAATGTTATAATGATAATGTTATAATGTTAATGTTATAATGTTAATGTTATAATGAAAATGTTATAATGTTAATGTTATAATGTCAATGTTATAATGTTATAATGTTAATGTTATAATGATAATGTTATAATGTTAATGTTATAATGATAATGTTATTATGATATAATGATAATGTTATAATGTTATAATGATAATGTTATAATGTTAATGTTATAATGTTAATGTTATAATGATAATGTTATAATGTTATAATGATAATGTTATAATGTTAATGTTATAATGTTATAATGTTAATGTTGTAATGATAATGTTATAATGTTAATGTTATAATGTTATAATGTTATAATGATAATGTTATAATGTTAATGTTATAATGTTATAATGTTAATGTTATAATGTTAATGTTATAATGTCAATGTTATAATGATAATGTTATAATGTTAATGTTATAATGTTATAATGTTAATGTTATAATGTCAATGTTATAATGTTAATGTTATAATGTCAATGTTATAATGATAATGGTGTAATGTCAATGTTATTATGTTAATGTTATAATGTTAATGTTATAATGTTTTAATGTTATAATGTTAATGTTATAATGTTATAATGTTAATGTTATAATGTTAATGTTATAATGATAATGTTATAATGTTATAATGTTAATGTTATAATGATAATGTTATAATGATAAATTGTTATTTCACATAATGATATTACTACACAAGGCAAAAGCACATTTTCTACGTAGTCGAAAGGTTAAAGTGTTATCTTGAACGCAAAGACCTAGTTGGCATTAGTTAATACTTATTTATCATGTATTTTGAAGAACGGCTGTGAGGTCTGAGGATACTGCGCCAAATAAAGAAAACTGTCATAAAATCATTATTAGGAGTGAAGAATAATGTTAATAACTCTATGAATTATTCCGAACTTGCTCGTTTTCCTTGTAACATACAGCTTAGAGTATTTAATATTAAATATTGACTGAAATTTGAAGACTGATAAATGTGTATTGATGGCGTGTTATGATGAATTGATGAAGCTAAATACAAGGAAGACCAATTGTAAGGCAAACGTTTTAAAACAGGAGATTTATAGAGTGGGCTTTGGTAATGTATGGTTGTCACAGCTGTTACCAAATCAAACATATATTTTTATTATTTCATAAGCTACGAATACTGGATATTTTTATTCAAGAATCAAGAAATGCTTTTGATAATTCTTCAACAGGTATTACATATAAACATATCAAAGACAGCTACACAATGCTGTCTCAACTTCAAAGATAAAAATGATTATTTTTAAGTTTAGTTTGAATGCACATACACTAACTGAAAAAACTGTGCACGCGGTGTGACAAAAATGAACTTGAGGATAAAACTCATTTTATACTATTATGTCCAGCATATTCAGAAATAAGATCACTATATATCAAACCATACTTTCATTGTCGACCATCTGTTTTCAAATTGATTAAAATTTCTAGCAATAATGTAAAAAACTTTAATTTTAGTAGGTATCTAACTCACGCTATGGCCCAGAGAAAGTTATCATTGCATATTTGAGTAACTAAATACATCTTTTATGTGTAGATGTAATATGTATGTGAAATTACTAATACATGGTTATATATTGATTTCCTTACTCTTTTCATGTTATAAGGTCAAACAGTGCACATTTCTACATTTGTACAAATAGAATATTGTTGACTTGTGGTATTTTATTAGCTTGCTTCCTGTTGGGGTTGCTTGTTATTAATTTTTCATGATGACGTCATAATGTTATGGCGTAGTGGGTCTTATTCATGGCTTTCTCTATGCATACATGTATATATGAATAAAAAATATTTTTACGTGTATGTATTTATTATAATATATATGGTGGCCAATGTTCTCCGCCATCTTGTACACAATTCTGTTATGATATATTTGTATGATATGCTATTTGCATACGGAATAAATTGGATTTTGATGATGAAATGTCGCCGTTGCTATTAGAACCGTAATGACATCATTATAGTCACGTGTTGGATGTCATCATTTTGAATTACTTTCTTGTTATTTTGTATAGCGATATTGTCGTTTAAATTTTAATAAACCTGTATATAGATATATAGATATGTCCGACACTGTAGTGTGTAAATTAATTTAATTAAAATTAATCATTGCACCATTTTCTTGATTATCTTAAGAATTCGTAGTTTTACGAGATCGTGGATTAAGAGTACCATCGATATCAACAATAATAAATCCACACAAAAAATTCACGATTTTGTATCAGTAATCATTATATACAGAAAAAACATCTGTCCGGCGCGGTATAGTTGTTAAGT